TATTGAACGCCAAAGCAGAAGCGTTAGCCATGGGAAAACGAGCAGAAATTATATCCACAATTTCTTTATGTAATCAAGTTAGGTGTAAACCCACATCGGAAAGGTTCCACGCACCCATGATGTGGGTCTGGATCCTTCTCCATTCACAGTCGGCAGTATTGTACAAAGCAGGAGTTACTCAAGTGAATGGATATGCCCCATGACAGCACAGGCACAGGCTAGCCCGCAAAATTGTACCTGCTTTCCTAAATATAACATACCTTCTTGCAAGTGGTCCACCCTGGCCTCTAGCTTTTGATCTGCAGTTCCTGAGCCATAAGGGCTAAGGATACATTGTGTGCTAAATCATTTCAGATTTGCCTGTTTGTACTTCCCGATCCAAGGCACTGGCCAATGCAGCCATTGCTCCGAGGATTCCAGCCGCAACACTTATACCCAACAGTCCCACAGAGTGGTTGGATCTTCACAGAGCCTTTTCTAATTCTGCTACTACATACAGAGAAGAGTTTTCACACCAGGGTTCTTAGAGGGTAACGGGGTAACAATATAGGGAGGCTGTTCAAGCACTAAAAGGCAATGCCTGGGTGATGAGGCTGAGCAGCAGCAGAGAATTGGAATGTGTCCTGCTTATGCACAGGGGGAAGAACTTTTCATATTCGGGATCATTATTCCACCTTTCAGAGCTGATGTAGATTGAGCATGCTCTTGAGTGTTTGTACCGAATGTGTGTGTGGACTTTGCATCACTAGAAACACAAAGTGTATAAAGTGTCCGTGGATGGTGCCCTACTGCAGAGAATAGGTGCACGTGTATTAGTTTCTCTCTTTTTTTTTTTCAGTACTAAGGATGGAACTCAGGACCTTACACTAGCCAGGAAAACACTTATTCCACTAAGCTATATCCCAGGCCCCTCTTTCTCATTTTTTAAAGAATACAAATTAATGAAAAATAAAGCATTAGTAATGACACAAAATTTCACTAATAAAAGTAATGGAATTGAACAATGGGTGCTGCACTGCATGAAGTTATCTTCGAATTAGATTTTTAGGTTATGAGGTATTAAAGCAAAACTGTTTTAAAAAGCACAAAACGAGTAACACCAACCAGAAAGTTACAAGAAATAAAAAGAAAAAAGAAAATGAATT